AGGGGCTCCGACTTGCTCCGGAGAGTGTACGGAATCCGAACTCGACAGTTGGAGTGATGCCGAAACGACCCCAGACACCATGGAAGGCGAACAGTCTTTCCCACTGCCCTGCTATCGTCACATTGCGGATTCTCCCAGCGGGAGGAGCACGCCTTGTGCCGTGGGGGAGTATGTCCCACAGACGCCAAGTCCAAGATGCATGGACTGGCCCGCCACCAGCTTCGGCGACGCAGGTTTGCCGACGGAGGAAATTCGGTCCGATCCTGTGCCCGACCTTGTACCACCCACTCATGGCCAGGCACCGGAAGCCCACTCCGGCGGCGGAAGGGATGTCTCGAGACATGCGCTGCAGAGGCTGATGGCGGAGGTAGCGAAGTTGGAGCAGGAGAATGAACTTCTTCGCAGAATCGCAGTCCCGTGTGGAGCGGCCCCGGAACCCCTTCCCGCACGAAGAGTCCAATTGCTGAGCACGCTCCCTCCGTCGGCGACCGGGAGAATGTGAGAGATGTGTTGCACGATGCCAGCACTCAGATCGCACGGGTGCTCCCGATACCTCGCGTGAAGCTGTCCGCGAAGCCGGATTTGGTCGGCTTGTATAGCAACATTCCTGCAGGCGCAGCCGCTCATAAGTTTGAGGGAGGCTGGTGGGTACTTGGCCCACGCCCGCACACATCTGCAGGACAAAAGGTAGCAGCGTCGCAAGGGCAGCGCAAACTCGGAACCGTACTGTCGCCTTCAAGCTTTCTCGAACGACTGCTCAGGCTGCGGCGAACGACCTACAGCGTGCTGCCAGGATCAGAAACCGAGGGAGAGTGCGAGCATCGGAGCATCGGCTGCACTGACGATGTACTAAGCGACTGACTGGCACTCTCCTGGAAGGATAGAGCCGCGCAACGTGGATATCCGCCGGAAGTCGCTTTGCTAAACTCCATGATGTTTTATGCGGTTCTAGTATGCGCATGTATGCACCACAAGTTCGCCCTCAGCGCCCAGCATCCTACAAGGTATGAAGAGCCGGAAGCTCAGCGGGTTTCAGAATCAAGCCTCGTCGACTGATCGCTGAGATGTACAGCCGTCTTGGGCTCTGCACGCTGCGACTTCACCAGGCTGAAGAAAGCTCTTCAAGAGATGGAGAAGAAACAGGAAGAGGCAGAGCTTCTGAGATGTGTGGTGGTACTGTGGCGGGATGTGGCCTGCAGGAAGAGGGGCCAGTCGACCATGACATCAGCTCATTGCCTCGAACTCAGTGCACGAAGGAAATTACGAGTTCCAGCGTTTTCGAGGTGAGTTTCGGTGCTGAGTTTCGGGGCAGAGTTCGGAACATGGTCCGGGACAGTTTCGGATGATGCATGGTCAGTTTCAGGCCCAGGCCTGCAAGAATCGGACTGAAACTTGACATGCTCTGTTCTTGTTGTTGTGTTGTTGTTGTTGCTGTTGTTGTCGTTGCCAGGCCATTGTTCAAGGCACCAGCTTGAGCGATGCACACATGAGCTTTACATGCATTTCTACTGGTTCACACAAATTTCCAACATTGAACATACCTTGTTTGATCTTGGCAACCAATAGCTAGACGTAGTCATGGGCATACTAATTTGTACGTGGTACAGGAACGGTGTGCACATGTACTCGTGGAACCTACAACTGTTGCGCGCTGGAAATCTAAGTACCAAGTAAGTCGAAGTCGAAGTGTAATTCTTGTTCCACATAACAGCAGAGCAGCAGGAGAACTGAAAAAGTGATGCTCTGGTTACTCGCCAAAGGCCTAGGGCTTGGCTGGAAGTCGCCATCGACGGCGCTGAAGCCAAGAGAGTTGTTGCGGCCTTGGAGAAGCAGCTAAACCCTAAACCCCTTTAAGGAACCCTATAGATCCCTTTAAAGGAACCAGCCCTGGCAGGCCCAAGAGGCCATGGATACGAACCCTGCCTTTCGTCTTCCCTCGTCTCAGAGCGTCCATGGCCGTTCTCAGGTCTTTGCCCTTTATGCCGACACTGTGGGCTTCTAAGAGTGATGTGCTAGTCGTTTTGCATGTTGGAGTTGTGAGTCCTCAGATGCGAAATGGGGAAAGAGGCAGAACATCCTTCAGCCTCGTGTAGGTGCCAAAGACCGCGGAGAATTTTCGCCGGCTTTGTACGGGCGAGCATCCAGGTATCTTGGATGCTTTTGCTGCTAGCAGCCGGTGTGCAGCAATTATCGCCTCCAGGAACCACAGCGCGTGGGAAGCCATTCCACTACAAGGGCAGCATCTTGCATCATGGCTATGAGCGAAATGTCGCATACAATCAAAGAAGCGCACCTGTGACATCGCAGCGAAGTCTGAGGCATCGTATGATTCCTGGTTTGATGATCCAGGCTTGCTGAGCATTGCAGATTACGTTAGCAACATGGTTTTTCACTGCAAGCAGGGCGGTGATTTCGAGAATGCCAACGGGCTGCGAACTCAAACAAATCATACCCAGGACGACACCACGTTCCCACTTCCTATAGCTGCTCGACAGGACGGGCGGAGAGTCCGTTTGGTCCCGGCGATTCGCTGATGAAGGCTTCAGAGACCCCGTCTCGCGACGAGGCTCTGACCGAAGCCATGGGAAACACATGATACGTATGTATACAGAAACCTCACTCTCTCTCTCTCCCTCCCTCCCTCTCTGCGTACGCACACAGACAGACCGCCAGGCAGGCAGGCAAGCAGGCAGGCAGAGACAGACAGACAGACATGCGTACGAATGCCTCTCTCTCTCTCTCTCTTGCTCGCTCTTGCTTTTCGTTGCCTCCTCTCCTTCCGGGTCTCTGTCTGGCCGCCGGCAGGTCTTCTCTGCATGGCTAACGACGGCCCCAACACAAACGGATCCAACTTCTTCGTGTCCTTCGCGGAGGCAGAACACCTTCACAGGCGATGGGACATCCTCGAGTGTGAGAGAACCCGTGGAGCCCCAAAGCTCTCGGCAAGGCTGCAAACGTTTTGTGTGTGACTGGCCGTGAAAGCTGCCAGGCTCGAACGACCAGACCTTACCAAAAAGTAAAAGGCGACATTCAACAGTATCACAGCGTCTAGCTCCTTAGCGCAGGAGCTGTACGTCTGCTCTTGACGACTGGACATGGCAAGCTCAAGGCGAATAATTGGAACAAGCGAAGGCTGATATGCCGAGTTCCTTCCCTTATCGCTGCTTAGACCTGGTCGACACCTAGGGATGACAGCCGCACACTCAGAGCTTGTCTGGGGTTAACGTGGCATTGCGGAGCATTAAAGGCGACAGCTTTGCTCGTGCAGCCAGGCATGCGAGTGCTGCAGCGGGTGTTTCGCAGGTATCTTGCTGGTAGGCCGAGCGTGCTTCGTGGCTGCACGAGCTCACCCGAAAGAGCTGCGCTTTTCAGGTGCAGGGATCAGACAAATCGGCGGGCTAGTGCAACCCTCGCAGCAAGAGGACTGATCCGCGGGAGCTGGTTCAACACCACGGCGAGGTGCCTTGCCGCGGAAGTATCAGGGAAGCTTCTACCTGAACTAGCTGTCGAGAGGATTCAAAATGATGTCATCGCCAGCTTGTGTCAATCATTCACTTTTGAAGAGCAGGAGACAAAGGCGGAAACGGCCAGCGCAAAGCCGTCAGGGCCCTTCCGCCGACCGGCCACCATTGTGTGGACATGTCTGGACCAGCAGTGCGCAGCAGCCAATGAGGCTCGGCGATGCTCGCATGCCGGCAGTTCAGGCCATGGCGGCTGGTTGTGTTTCGTCTCCCTGTGTTGCAGAACACATGTCGTTGCTGCAGGGGGAACACATGCCAACATGGGCCATCGATGAACTGATCCACTTTGTGCTGTAGGGTCTGCATGATGTCCGAAAGCTTCGCATGTCTTCGCCTGGGCAGATCGTGGAGGAGGGGACCATCCAGGATTCCGCCTGTGTGCATGATCATGACATTCACCGCACATTCTGCTGTGTGTGTGTGTCGGTCTGTGTAAACCTGGACGCTAAGCGAAAGGTTCCTAGTGCAGGGGGACAGGAGCTGATTTGCCTATCCTGTCCAACGAAGCTATGGCAAGTCAGTGGA